TCACAAAATTTCACTTGTTAATTCTTCAATACCACTTGTAAATTTCATGCCTTGGCCTAATCATACAAGTCATATTGTCCTAGATGCAAAATCAATGCTTATTATTTTCCTTACTTCATTTGTTAAGTTACGATTATCACTTGCAAATTTCACAATTTGACCTACACGAGTTAAATCATTTAGTCCTAGATACAAAAATAAGTCTTGTTAATTGCCTAATTTAACTTGTTAATTCACCAATATCACTAACAAATTTCACTATTTCACCAATAAATTTTAATTGCAATTTCAGTTGTAAACAAAATAACTAGATATGTACTAGTAGTAATGTTAAAGACATGATAAGTTACACATATAACAAGTAATGGAAATTAAGCTAATTATAAAAGAGCAATTGTCAAATACATGTCATGAAAGATTACAATATGAAATGACATCAAAGATCTTCAATAATGTCATCACCTTTTCTTTAGGGATGGCTCAATACTTGAAATGAGTGAAAGGCTTTTTGCTAATTTTGCATTACATTGATGGTCAACAAGCCACCAGAACAAGTTAAGTCTTAGTAGCTAACTCATCCTACAAAATAGTTATTCACAAGGTTAAGACATTTTCTACTTTACTTGCAATAACTTTAACCGTATTGTAATACCTAGAAATTTTAAGTAAACTTTAAAATATATAATAATGTGTTTTAATCATAATTGTATTAATTTTACAAATATTTTATCAAGAAATATTGTTGTCTAGTGCTAATTGTGCTGTCAATGCATCCTTCAGGTCCTGGGTTTGAATCCCTCTTAGGCTAGGGGAAATTTTTTTGATTTTTTTTGCTCCAGTTTTTGGGTAAAGTTACAGGTTTGCCCCTCTACATAGAAAACGAGATGGAGATAAAAACCACACTCAAGGTTTTTTCTCTTCCCATTCTTCATTTTCTTCGACAGATCTAGAACTAGCTAGCATCGCCTTTTCTCCTCTGATCTATTTCTGTTCTTCCCACTGTGAGTGATGTCGGTCACTGTGACTGAGGAGCCCTCCTCTCCCTCCTCTGTCGCACGAGTGTGTTAAGAATGTTGGACTTCATCATCTCCCTTGGTCTGCATCACAGATCACTCTACCTCACTCGCAGTCCAGCTCACCATCATTGACAAGTGCGACAGTTTCGTCCACTGTTGATGAGAAATTCCACCGTGAGTTTTTTCTTCCCTTAGTCATTGTTGTGAGTTGTTTGTGTGTGCCTCTGTTTGTTCTTCTTCTTTCTCCTTTTGTGCTTTCCGTCTCTGATCTGGTTTAAGGGAGTTTAAATTTTTCTCCCTGATTCTGGCGTTTCTAATTCAAGTAGCTGTGGGAGGTTTGTTTTGATGGCTGTAGCTCTTTTCCCCTGCTTTTGCCTCCATCCCTTCCTCCCTATGTCTGCCAATATGAATGAAGGTAAAGAGGTCTTGAGTCTACTTCTCTCTTATCATTTTTGTGTGCTTGTCCTTAGGATAGAACTGAAGAAGTTTGAATTTTTCTAAGATTGTGAATGTTTGAATGAGGATGAGAAGTGAATTTAAGATGAAATTTTAATGTTGGACCGAGATGGTACTTACTTAATTTGAATTTTGTGGATTTAGGATTGATATTCTTGTTGGTGGAAATTAGTTTCGAGGGTTGTTTGATTTAAATTTTTATAGGGTGAATCTTTGGGAAATGGAATTAAAGAGGAAGAAGTTTGATTTAAGTTCAAAAATTAGTGTATGGAAGGTTTTTGACATAATGTTTGTTAGAGGAAACTTTATTTGATTTGCATATCTTTGAAATTACATTGATTCTTATGAGTAGTATGTTCAATTTGAGTGCTATTACTCTATAAACTTAAATTGAAGATTGTAAAGGAAATTTGAGTATGACATTAGTATGAACAATTTGAAATCTTGGACATAGATGGTTGTTGATGAACTATGTTATAAGAGATGTGAGTGTTAAATAAAAACAAGAGGAAGAAAAAGAATCCTTATTGTGGAATTTGAAAATAATATACTTTTGGAATTTTGACAAAAAGTTTATTAGGGATTTGTATTTTAATGGAGTATTGAGCTATTGCTTTAAGGAATTTTTACGTGTAAAAGTCTTGATTTTAAATTTTCAAAATTTATTTTTGTTAAATGCTGATATTGGTATTGTTGGAAGTTTATTTAATTTCTTACAATGACTTTAGGGTGTTTGGAAAGGATGAAAATTGTTAGATTTTGAAATGTGGCAAGTAAGTGAATGGCATCCCAATTAATTTACTTATAATAGTCTTTTATTAAAATATTTATTTTTGTTGATCATTTTTAATTACTATGATAAGTTGGGTATTTTGTGAATAAAATTATTTTATCATGAGAAAATGCAAATGATTGCAAAGGATAACTAAGATGTTGTATGTACATGTATTTTTTTTTATTCATAAGTTATATTTTCAAGATTTATGATATTATTTTTATTTATTTTGAGTTTTTTATTTTTAATAAATGCTATAGTGCATATTATTTATGAAATTTTATTTTTGATGAGTATTGAATTGAAATTTGAAATTATTCATGTGAATTTGGTATAGAGAATACAAATTATGTTTCAAAAGTGACTATTTTTCTCGCATGTTTGAAAAATAATTTTTAGAGGACTTTAAGCATAACATTGTTGCTAACAACAGTTCCGTTAGCCTTTGGTGTGCCTTGGTTAATGATTAGGTAGTTTGATTTTCGTGAGATTTGTTTTCACGTCTGTTATTCATAGGTCTTGTATCCACATCTGTTTTGTGGCTTTGACCACGTTTGGTTAGTTACCCACATGGACTATGTGTCCATATTTGTTTTGTGGCTTCGACCACATTTGATTACTTACCCTTGTGAACCATGTGTCCATGTCTATTTTATGACATAAGCGTGTTTGGTTACTTACCTCGAGGACTGTGTGACCATGTTTGTTACTTGTTCTGTTAAGTCCTCAAAATTATAAGTTTTTAGTTAACTTGGGTATTTGAAATTTCAATAGTTTAAGCTAGTAAGTGTATTACTTTGATTTTACATATGGATAAATTGTTTTTTTCAAGTATGATAGAATAAAACAATTTCAATTCACTCTCATTCTATGGTTATTATTAAGATTTATAGATTTATTACGTTTATTATATCGAATTATCATTTTTTAATGACTTTACATAATTATTTGAGTTTATTATTTTTACTCTTTTAAATTTTACTTTTAGGGGTTCTGTTCACTGGAAAATATTTTAGTCTTAGATTCATTAGTTGACACGAAACTTTTTGTTGATTATTGAGGAGTTTATCACTGATTGGGAAGTAAAGGAGCTATAGACTAAGCTACCTTTTGATGTAAATTTTAATTATAAAATTGTATTTTGTAAATTAAATTTTGGATGCTCCACATAGGCTATAGCTAGGGCCTTTATTTTGTTATATATTCTGTTTACTGGTTGGAAGGGGTTGAGTTCCCGATTGATTTAAATATTTTGCTTAACATATTGTATTATAGAATTTTGGAAGATCCTATCTACAAGAGAGATTTTGTCAAAATTTCTACAAAAATATTGAAGCTTTTGCTATAATGTAAATTTATTAGGTTTTAGAAATAGAGAGTTTTCTTATTAATGTTTAAGGAATGTATGTTTGTGCATATATCCCATGCCGGTCACATCTAATTTTTGGGACGTGACACATATAATATTTAAATACATCCTCAAAGCTATACTTGTGTATATTTAGGCATTGTATAGTTTGGCCAGTCGTTTTGTTTTATAGAACTAGAAGCCACAAGTCATGTTGACTTGTATGTCATTAAAATATTAACTTCAATTACACTATTAGTACTGGACGAAGTCATAAATTTACAATCATAATTATAATATTAACAAGATAACATTAAGCTTTTAACAACTCACAATACAATGACAGAACTTCTAATGCCTAACAACTTTGTATTTGTGAATTTTAACGTGAACACTTTATATCAACTAAAAGCCCTAACTCTTTCATGCCAAATGATCAATTCATTCCATGCTCATTTCCCACATTGAACCTATATCGATACCCATATCAAATGTTTCATACACCCATTTGTACTTAAAAAAGATGCCTCTGGTTACTACAAATTACAGTACTTTACCTCCGCATGATTGATTGCTACTAAGGCATCCTCCAAAACCATCCTTAGTTAATTGCCATTTCATTTGGAATAAAATTACATGGAGAATAAATAATCAAGAGTGAGGTAGGTGATGAATCTTTTGGGCTCGTGGGTGATGAATCTTACTAGTCACTCCTCCTTAAAGTAAAGATTAAGAAATAGAGAAGTGCACATTGAGCTTTCACGTGCATTTCTTTCCTTCTATCAATTGCCTATTTTTAATTTCTTTGTAGAAGGGTATTTTCATCTTTCCTCAATTCAAGTTATTTTCACTTTAGTCCTGGAGGACTGAACTGAGATTTTAGATTGTCTTGGGATCCACTAGAAATTAAGTGTCTTTCTAGGTCCTTAATTGAAATTCTCCCTAATTTATAAGTCTTCCACCAAAATTAGTTAGTCATCTTTATGCACTATTACAGAATGTATCTTTAGGAGCGGGTATTTAGGAGCGCTTCTTTAAAAAGTGCTCTAAAATGTGAATGCGGAATTTACCAGAGCGCTTTTCTAAATAAGCACTCCTGTATGTCAGGGCTTCTCAATAAGATAACGCTCCTAATTAATATAAATAAAATATTGTAAAAAATTTAAAAAGACATTCGAGAGCGCTCGTAGTTAAGTGCTCTGGAAGACTATCTTCCGGAGCGCTCTTGGAATGAGCGCTCCGAAAGAGCTCATCTTCTGGAGCGCTCTTTTAATGAGCGCTCCGAAAGAGTTGATCTTCCGGAGCACTCTTTGACAAGCGCTCTGAAAGACCACCTCTTCCGGAGTGCTCATTAATGAGCGCTCCGAAAGAGGTGGTCTTTTATATCTCTGCCTCCCGTCAGTTTTCTTTTCCGTATTCATGAGTTTCTTTCAAACCTCTCTCTCATTTGCTGAGGTTGTGCGTTCTCAACGAGTTCTAGATCGTCACTGTATCAGTCTATCTTCCGTCATTGTTCACTATTCCAGATCGTCGTTCGCCACTGTTCGCTGTTCCAAATCATCGTCCGCTGCTGTTCGTTGTTCCAGATCAGTGTTCGTCGCTATTCGTTCATTTCTGTGTCATGTCGCGCCATCTGTCTCTGTTTTTGCGCTGCCGTCGCCGTCATCGCCATCTCCCGCATCACTATTCCAGATCTGCATTGCTGTTCCAGATCTACGACGCTGCTATACACCGGAGGAAGAGACGCCATGAAGACCTCCTTTGCAGCCGTGTGTCATTGCTGTACAGCCGAGGAAGCAACGCCGCAAAGACCTCCGCTACTGCCATGAAGACTACACTGTGAAGGTATTTTTTTAATAATTAATTTATAATGTAATATATTGATATATTTATATATATTTAAGAATAAATTTCATATATATTTTTTTAATAATCAATTTTATAGATAATATATGAATTGGAGTTATTTATATTAGAATTATGGAGTATTTGTAGTTGATAATTAGATTAAAGTTGAGGAAACTACTTGAACATTTTTATTTTATTTATGAAATATACTTTTAAGCGAGATTATTGTTATTAATTAAATTACAATTGATTGACATAATTTAGATGCATTATGCTACTAAATTTTTATTTGGATGAATTGATTTTTTTAGTTTAAATGTATTGTATTGTGGAATTTGATTGTTTGATCATTTGGGAGGTTCTTCTTTTAAGGAAGATGTTGTTGAATTTTTTTTTATAGAAATCTAAGTCTTTTGTTTATTGAATTTTGATAATCATATTAGTGATATGGATCATAAGTGGATGTCGACTAATCGACTATCTAGAGAATATTGGGATGGTGTGGATTAATTCATTGAATTTGCATTTTGTTGTGATCAAGACCTCCCTGGATTCATATGTCCTTGTTTGAAATGTTGCTATGGAAAATGAGTAAAGCCAATAGAATTGAAAGATCATTTAATCTGTAATGGGATTGATCCAACTTATATTTGTTGGACCATGCATGGGGAGACAAGGAATAATGCAAATGATTGGAGGGATAGTGCGAGCTACTCAACATTTGATCGTGATAGTGGGACATATGATGTTGACCGTCTTGATGAAATGATTCATATATATAACTTCATCGCTGAAGTATTTTAAATTGAGTTAGAATTTATTTCTACCATATTTTGATAATAACATCTTTTATTGTTTTATAGGTACCTACACAATTACAAGGTTGGGAGTGTGGATACTATGTTATGAAGTTTATGAGAGAAGTAATCACACAATAAGAGTTGATCATTCCTGAAAATGTAAGTCAAAAGCTTTGAAATTAAGTTGATATAATGTTAATTACTTATATATTGCTTTCATATCTTGTGTAGTATTTTATTGGAGTAAGATGTTCGCATTTTACTATGGAGCAAATAGAAGATTTAGTTGAAAAGTTGTCAGAATATATTATTGGCTGTTTGTGATAGGAAGATAGATTTCAATGTTAGAAAAATAACAATAGTTTCATTTGTTAGGCTTGTTAGAAATTAAACTAGGTTAGTTAGGAAATTGAAATTGTTGTATCAGTTTCAAATTCTTTTCTTGTATATAAATTTTTATGTTGATATTATTTTTAAATTAGTTTTTAATATTATGATTTGCCATTGTTAAAGAGACGTAAAAGGAGAAATTTCAAAAAATCTGATTTAAAAAAAATTAAAGTAATATACGGGAGCGTTCATTTGAAGAGCGCTCCTGTAAAGTAACATACAGGAGCGCTCTTCCAGAGAGAGCTCCTATATGGCTCATACGGGAGCGCTCTTTATAAAAGCGCTTCGGTATGGTTGCATACAGGAGCGCTCTTGTAGAGAGCACTCCCGTGTGTGAGCTCACATACGGGAGCGCTTTTCGAAAAGCACTCCCGTACAGCGTATATACAGGAGCGCTTTTTTTAAGCGCTCCTATACATTTCGGAGCGCTCGATACGAGAGCGCTTCAAAAACGCTCCCTAAAGTAAAAAAAAAAAAAAGCGCTCCTGTAACTTATTTTGTAGAAGTGATGGAATTTGTAATTTGTAAATATGTTTTTAAGATAATCTAACGTAGATTAGATTCCATTAAATCTAACCACCATTTTAACAGTATTGGAATATATGTCAAAATCTGCAAGTTGAGGGTGTGGTTTTTAAACATTTAAAAATGAGGAATTTTATATGCAATAGAGCTAAACTAAGAGGTTATGGGTATTTTTCCCTGTTCAAAAATTAATCTGTCCCTTCCAAAAATGCAAAAACCAAAAACATTCATTAAAATTTCAACTTTCAACTTTAGTGATTGTTTGGTCCAAAAAACTTTCAAGTGCTTTGCATGAATTGGCCCAAAAAAAAACGTGCTTTGCATGAAATCATAGCTCAAATATTTATGGGCTAAAGGACAAATAAAACTCACAGTCTTCACATTATAAAAATTTAGTCTCAGCTTTGTGATTGTAAATTAATTAATCTTTTCAATTCAACGATCTTTCATTTCCTGCTCTACCTAGCTCTATATCCGTTGTTCTACTTTTGCCCTTGTGTTCAACTACTCTCCATGTGTGAGAGCACCTTCTTCTGAGATCTTCCATTTTCCAGTCCTTGATTTCCTTTCTTCAACACTTCAAATATATAATGCATACTTAGATCGGATGCATGGATACTAAAATTCAAATCATATAATGCATGTATAATTCCCTCCCTCCCGCACACACACACACACACACTTGTATGTAACACATGATATAAAATGGTAAGTTATGGCAGAAGTTCCCGGTCCCCACCCTCCCCCCCCCCCCAAAAAAAAAAAGGGAAAATCACAGAGGATTCTAGATCATTTTACTTATAGAAAAGAATCAGATAATTCTAAATTCACTCTACAAGACCAAGGGACCAAAATGTAACTAAATTTTAGTATAAAAAGATAAAACTAACCCTCATTTTCAAAAAAAAAAAAAAATATCCTCACATTGTCACTGGCCACCTGAGTTCTGACATTGGTGGCCAAACCACCCCAGCAAACTGAATCTTGGAGCTCTAGCATTGGTGATTGGACCGCCCGCTGGAGCTCCAGCGTTAATCACCAGATCAGTGATGGAGACAAATGGAATTTTTTATCAATGCTTTATCACTGGATCAGCGTCAATCCAAACAAGATTTATTTAACTCCAAAATTATGACTTATATGTATATTATTATCAAGGCTTTAAAATGGATTTCCAATTCAAATTTGAGCCTTCTACCTCCTATAACAGCACGACAATAGCTACAACAGAGGGCATGCATAATTTTTTTTTTTTTTTTTCAACTCCAATCATCCATATACAATCACGGTCAGCAACAGGGGAGCCCGATTTTGCCACTTTACTCATCAGTTCACATATACACAGAGCAAGAGAAGACAAAACGTGAAGCTTCCTCACCTTAACTCACCACAACAGAAAGCAAGGAGAAAGAAGATAAACCAGACAGATGAATAAGGAAGAGGTAAATTGAACACTACTCGCAAGAAAAGAAAGAAACTGAATCAGCAGCTACAAACTAGGCTCTCAAAAACACCATCAACACCTCCGGCGACTTGGCCATTTACCCCAGCAGTAACTCGAATGTGACCGACACAAGGAGAGCAGCAGTCAAATGTGAAGTCAAGAGCTGTCAAGCATAAAGAGGATGCAGACATTCACGAGCAGTCGACTGTCAAGCATGAATAGGCCAAGAGATTCACGAGGAGTCGGAGGACTTTAGGATCCGTTTTCTTCACTCTACTGCTTCATCAATCACGGTCGAAGAGATCGAGTGCAAGATTGAGGAACAGAGAAGAGGAAGATGCTAATATACTGCAGGGTTCTGCCGTTCTAGTCCTACATGCTCAAACGCCAACGACAACAAGGAATGAAGAAGGGAGAGAAAAAGGTTGGTGATGGTAGAGAGCAAGATTAAAGACTCCAGAATTCTCTCTCTCTCTCTCTCTCTCTCTCTCTCTCTGCGTGTCGTGTCTGAATAAAGAAGAAAAGAGAAAATTTATCTGATGATGGAGAGTGTATAATGGTAATAAAATAAACCCCCCTCCATTTGTACTTCGAGGGGCTTGAACCTTGGACTTAATAAATGAGTGGTTTACACACTTCCACTACACCAGCTTCACTTATATAACTATCATTAAATTTAGTTATATATAAGTCGGAGGACTTCAATTTTCAAATAACACTAGCATATGCATTTCACTCTTTAATATTAGCAAATTTGAGAAAGTAATGGTTAATATATTTTAGTAATTCTGTTAAAGTATTTTGGATTTTGGGTTCGGTTTTAGTTGGAATTAAAATTTTAAAAAAGTAAACACTGATAATCAAATATTAACCATAAAAAAAAATACATTCAACTAATTGTAAGTGTTTTCTTAATCTCTTGAAAATAGTAGACAAGGGCTTCTTATAAAAAAGAGAAAAGAAGTATTTTGAATTTCAATATGTTCAACTCTTCAATAACAAAAGTGGAATCAAGATTTCTCCCTCGCCAAACTTCAATTTCAATCTCAATCTCAAATAGGTCATCAAATAGCTTAGAAATAATAACAATGATTGTTAGAATCAAATTGGATTGGCTAGCCTAACTAGTAAATAGCCTATAGTCTTGTCCAATCAACCTTAAGAACTGGAGGAAAAGTGAACTAGGACAAAGTTTGTCAAGACACATGGCTCAATAAAGTTCATTAATCTTAATAATTATATATGAAATTAAAAAATTTAGATTAAATGTCTGTGAATTTTGGTGATATGTGATGAACATAACAACAAATAGTTTTGTTATAATGTTGGTGAGAATAATTAATATTCTTTAAATTTTATACTATTTTAATTAAAATCGGTCTAATCAGGATTAATACTTGACCTGACTTGACTGGTTGAATACCTCCTTAATTGTTTCTTCTTACAACATTGATAATAATTGTTATGATCTGACCCTTGAAAACTTTTTCAAACGTGAGGTAAAAAAAAAAAAAGATGCTAACTACATTCAATCAATGACATTACTGATATTGACGATCATGGGAATTGCAACATTATAAAAGGCCAAAGAACTCTTAGCCTTTATATAAAGTAGAATGTAGAAAGCACGGCTGGGAGTTCTCTGACCTGTATATAATCTTGCAACTTGCAAATTCCCATGTTGTGACTAATGTGATTGAAAAAGTTTTCAATAGGTTGAAGAACTAAGCAAGTATTCAACAGGTCGGGTATTGAACCTTGCATGGTTGGACCCATTTTAATTAAAATAATATAAAATTTAAAGAATATGCAGTTAATGGATAAAAAATGAACCTTAATCCTTAATGTTATAAATGGGATCCACTTGCAACTTCCTGTTTATAAGGGAGCTTCCATGTCACAAGGCTATAAGACTATTGGCTTGCTTTATATATATATATATATATATATATCTGTGTGTGTGTGTGTGTGTGTTCTCCCACCAGACCACATTATATTATATTTTCTAGGAGCTTTGTTTGGTTCATAATATAGGACATTAGATAATCTTTTATAATTATTTTTTTAATCATACTCGTACTTCATTTATACTCCTTTTTTTTAAAGATGATATATTGAAATTTCAATTATCATTATTAAGACAATTATATATATTTAATGTGTCACATCCCAAAAAAATGAGAGTGACCGGCACAAAATGTGAACCATATCATGCATCCCTTATATACTCCTTTTTTTTTTAAGATGATATATTAAAATTTTAATTATCATTATTAAGACAATTATATATATTTAATGTGTCACGTCCCGAAAAATGAGAGTGACCGGCACAAAATGTGAACCATATCACACATCCCTTAAGCCCTAAAAAGAATTCTTCCTATTACTAAAACATAATTAGGTTTATATTAAATTATAACATGCATGATCATTTTCATAGAAGCTTCCCTATTCTTGTAGAAATTTTAGCAAAACTTCCCTTGTAAATAGGACCATCTCAAAAATTTTATAACAAAATGTTCAATAAAAAAATCACAATAATCAGGAGCTTTGCTCCTTTCAGCCAATGGACAAAGTATATAACAAAATAAGGACCCTACCTATAGTTTATGTAGAGCACCTAATTATATTTTTTCGTATTATGATACATAAATTTCATATTTGTATCAATAAAAGATATTTACAAAACAAATCTACACATAATTCAGCAAAAGAAGTCCTTCAATAGTCAGCAGGATGTACAGCCTTAGCTATGCTATCTGAGATCAAAAATAACTTTTCAATGAATAACGTCCCTACCATAATATTTTTCAAAATCAAAATTAATAGCTACAACATTTATATAAATTAAAGAAAGACAATTCCATGTAAGCAAATTTTGTAAACTTGGAATAAAAATTCTATATAACTTCAACATCAATAAACTTTAAATTTATAATGACAAAGCAACCTTAACAATGGATCTTGACAAGTCAATATGATGAAATAAATAAATAAGAACAACAATATTTACCAATTGAAAACCAT